TAATGGTGAGAAATATTAGATGTCTCCTTAAAACTGTGCAAGGAGCTGCTCGGTTATATATATATATATGTACATATATATATTCTTTTATAAATATATAAGAATATATATTCGTATATATATGTCTCTATAGAGGAGGAATAGGGAAGCTGCTTGGTTTCATATATATTTCATATGTATATAGATACATGTGTATATATATGCTCTTTTATAAATATATAAAAATACATATTCTTATAAATAAATATATTATTTTAGGAATAGAGAGGCAAAGCAACTTGAAAACTACCACCCGTGACTAGAAAGGTAGAATGAAGCCTAATTACAGACATTCTTGGAAATTAGGTAGAGTTTAGTTTTGAGCTTTCAATCCCTAAACTTTCAGCTTCCTCACCCGTAAATGCGGTCAATTCCAGGCTTTGGAATATTCTATGATCGGCCACAGGGAGGCGTTGATGGTTGAGATACTGCTAGGAAGATCGCCCTGATGCCTGAATGCCATCCATATGGGAACCAGCACAGGAAGCTCTCAGTCTTGAGGGACAAAACTAGGGGGCAGGAGAAGATATCTTCCAGTGTTGTTGTTTTTTTTGTTTTTTTTTTTTTAATTTTATTTTTAAGAGAGTGCAAGTGGGGAAGGGGCAGAGAGAAGGGGACAAAGGAACAGAACGTGAAGCGGGCTCTGCACTAACAGCAGCAAGCCTGACATGGGGCTGGAACTCACGAACCGAGAGATCATGACCTGAGCCAAAGGCAGACGCTCAAGACTGAGCCACCTAGGTGCCCCATATCTTTCAGTCTTTTAATTCCGGGATTAGAAAGTAATTCCTCTGCCCTTTCCAACATCTCCTGGACAAAGGAGAGTGTATCCAATCTCTGATGCCCTCAGAAATAGTCATAAGCTCTGCAGACTATGTGGCAAGCACAGCCACTGTGGCCCCAGGTCATCCCAGGAGTGGGGAGGTAGGACGACTGGCTGCAGTGTGACAGATTGTTGCACATTGTTGCCAGGATCTGCAGGGTGCCACCACCTCAAGTGCAAGGTCTCCCTGGCTGAGAGTAGCCCTTCTGGCCCCCTCTGTAGGTGAGAAGGGGGAGGAAGGAAAATACCAAGGAGACTGATTTTGGGAGGCTAAATGGCTGTGGTGGGGGAGGTTGGAATCTAATTCAGAGCAAATCTAGCTTTACCTCACACCGTAAGTTATTATTCAGTTATGCTGTAATTGGGCATCAGAACAGGGTTTTGGTAGCTGGGATCTCTGGCTGGTCTGGAAAGGGTTGCAGAGGCTTGGCAGGGACCAACTTTTCCCCCTTTGGGCTGTGCCTGTGGACAAATCGTGTCAAAATGAAGATTCAAGAAACAGAAACTGGCTGCTTTAAGTTTTTTTTTTTTTAAAAAAGGAGACTTCCTTAAATAATTAGGATGTGAGAAAGCCAGCTTGGAGGCTGTAACAGTCAGGAACAATTCCTCAAATTATGGCACACGGCAGTGTTTATGAAGACACCCCAGCTGCTTCGTCTCGGTAGAGTCATGGTTGATTCTGTGGCTAATACCACTGGTTTGATATTCTTCTTGCTGCTTCTTACAGCTAGGAGTCAAGTGGAGCCGCTGCTCAGCCACTTACACAAATGGATTATGTGTGCTTCCTAGTTTTTCATCTCCCCAACTTCCAGTGCCTTGGTTGTGTGGCAATACCCTAGTTGAAAACGGGGTTGGAAGCAGAAGCCTGACATGTTCCAGCTTCTGCAGTGGAAGAAGGGTCTAAAATGGGAGATTCTCAGGGCACCTGGGTGGCTCAGTGAGTTAAGCGTCGGACTTTGGCTCAGGTCATGATCTCGTGGTTTGTGAGTTGGAGCCCCCCACTGGGCTCTGTGCTGTCAGCATGGAGCCTGCTTCAGATCCTTTGCCCCCCCCTCTTTCTGCCCCTCCCCTATTCATTCTCTCTCTCTCCTTCTCAAAATAAATAATTAAGTGTTACAAAACAAATAAATAGAGGTGCCCGGGTGGCTCAGTTGGTTAAGCATCTGACTTTGCCTCAGGTCATGATCTCGGGGTTCATGGGTTCAAGCCCTGGGCCGGGCTCTGTGCTGACAGCTCAGAGCCTGGAGCCTGCTTCAAATTCTGTGTCTCCCTCTCTCTCTGCCCCTCCCCTGCTCAAGCTCAGTCTCTGTCTCTCAAAAATAAACATTTAAAAAATTAAAAAAAAAATAAAGTGGGAGATTTCCCAAACATGGGAAGACGATTCAGAAGTTAGGTGACCAAAAACAAGGAAGCCTTGAAGAGAACAGATATACATAAAACGGCACAGGCTGAGGCTAGCAATCTGGTGGCAAAGGGAGCCACCATTTTATATGAGGAACTAGGCGTGTTGTATAGGGGAATGGGATCAAACGTCAGAAGGTCTCTTATAGGGAAAACAATCAGACTTAGTTTACCTCCAAGAGAGGGGACATACACTGTTGGGTAGGCACACCAGAGGAAAACCTCTGCTCGATATGAGGAAGAGTTTTACTTTTTGTTCTTCAGAACAAAACAAAACAAAGCTGTTTCCATTGTGAACAAAAATGCTCAGAGTAAAAATGTGGAAAGATAATAACTCACAAAAACGCAACGCAAAGACAACTGCCGATAACATCTCAGTGTTTCCTTTTTTGTCTTTCCCTATCCTTTTTGTTTTCCCAACAGTATACAGAGCTATATATTCTCTACATATCATCAGATTCTGCCTTTTTCCACTTAATATCATAATACTTTTCTTTTTGTTGTTGTTTAAACCAACTCCACAGAGCCTAATATTCCGTCAGGAGCATACAACATAATTTACCTAAACATTTCTCTGTTTTTGACAGTTAGGTTACCTCCATTTTTTAAAAAAATAATATTGCAACAAGCAATAGAATTATGTGGTATAAATGTTAAATACATACTTATTAAATATATTATGTAAAATATTGTATCTTTTGATATAAAAATGAAATGAGGTGGAAAATTTAATATCTTGACAGTATTTCCAGAATTTCTTTTAGGAAGGGAGCTGAGTTTTTTTTTTTTTTAAGTTTATTTATTTATTTTGAGAGAGAGACAGGGCGAGAGGAGGAAGGGCAGAGAGAGAGGAGAGAGAACCCCAGGCAGGCTCTATCTGTCAGCACAGACAGGTTTGAACCAGGTTTGAACCCATGGGACAGTGAGATCATGACCTGAGCCAAAACCAAGAGTTAGACACTTGACCAACAGAGCCACCCAGGCAGCCCTGGGAGCTGTTTTCATTAGGAGAAACAAGCCTCTTAGGTGTAGAAAGTAAGATCTTCAGGGCAGGAGTGTTGGCTGGAACCCTAGCAGTGAAGAGACAGGGTTAAGATGTCTCTATCTGCCTGGAAATCAGGAAGAATTTGTTTTTTTCTCCAGAGAGGGTGGGACAGAGGAGAGAATGGTGGGTCAGGGAGGAGAAGTAGTGGTTCAGGAGAATGCAAGGCCCTAAGAGGTGAAGGGCCAGTCAGAAAACCTCAAATGGGTTGTTCAGAAAAGACTCTAAGGAATGTCGACTGTGTGAGTTTAAACCTTTTGCAGTGTATCATGGGACCCAGCTCCAGGGCCCAAAGCATCATAATGTCTTCTCTGCCCATGAATGTCTTGTGTGGGAAGAGGTGTGGGCAGTCTTCAGGAGGGGCTGAGTTTCATCTCTGCATTTTTAAAAAATGTTTTATTTATTTCTGAGAGAGAGAGAGAGAGAGAGAGAGAGACAGTGTGAGCAAGGGGGGGGGGAGGGTCAGACAGAGAGGCAGACACAGAATCTGAAGCAGGCTCCAGGCTCTGAGCTGGCTGTCAGCACAGAGCCCGATGAGGGGCTCGAACCCACCAACGGTGAGATCATGACCTGAGCTGAAGTCAGTCGCTCAACCAACTGAGCCACCCAGGTGCCCCTCATCTCTGCATTTTTGAACTGTGGCACTACAGCAGCCTGGCAGAAAAAAGAACCTGGAGGCAGAGAGATTCAGAAGAATATAAATCCCCGGAAATTTGCAGAAATCTTAAAGAAGGCTCTGACCTCCACAATCTGTTCTTACTTCAATCTCCAAGGATGAGGAGGTTGATGCCTGAATCACAAAAGTAATGCGCATTCATTTCAAAAAGTTAAAAAACAAAAAAAAGAGAAGCCGAAGAAAAAAATCACTTAGTTTTATCATTCAGACACCTGAGGCTGTGGCCTGAGGAATGTACTTAAGGATAAGAGGTAATCTTAACTTTAAAGACCGGGAAGAGAAGGGAGTTACCCATTGCTCATATACTTGTAAGTCAAGTTTTGTTCCTCGCCAGATAACAAACCCGACTTCTTCCGCCATACTGCCTACCTAGCTGCTAGGTGTCTTTTCATGGTGTATCTGAAGGGACAGGTTGGAACAGTTCCTGGTCCTCAAGAACTGGGTTAAGAGGCAAGAATAGAATTTGCTACAACAGTAAGGAGGATGCTCCCCGTTTAGGCGGGCAAGCATATTATTTAAGCACGTAGGAAGATAGGTAGAAAGTCCATAACCATTAATTTCTAGTTGCAGAAGCCTCTCCAGGGAGGAAAGCCTTTTCATTAAAATGACAGGCAACAGGGACTCCTCGAGTGGAGTCCAGGGACCCATGTTCTAGTCCCCGCATGGCTTCTGACTGCAAGTCACTACCTCTCCCTGGGACCGTTTTTTCACTGGAAGGACGTGCAGGCTGCCTTAGACGACCTTTAAATTCCCTTCCAGCTTTAAATTGCCTTTTGTGATAGTTGCCAGACTTGTTTTACCGCCCTGGAGCTGCCCTCCTCCTCCTCCCTCAGCTGCCGCGCCCGCATCCCGCACCAGAGGGCGCTGCAGGCGGGCCCTGGGTAACATGCGGTGGGCGGGGCGCAGAATCAGGGGAGCGCCCAGGACGCGCGGTGATTGGCTCCTGCCGGGGCGGAAGGGGGCGTGGAGAGAAGGGGGCCGAGCGGCGCGGTGACGTCAGGATGGCGGGGGCGGGGCCGGGCCGCGCAGCGTGTGACGCCGCGGCTGCCGCGGAGCTGGGGATTAATGGGAAAAGTTTTGGCAGGCTTCGGGGGATTCTGCGGAGCCTGCGGGACGGCAGCGGCGGCGCGGGAGGCGGTCAGAACAGGTCAGTCCGGGTCGGGGGAAGCGGTAGGCAAGCGGCGGAAGGAGGCGACGGGCCCGGGCTGAAGCGGCCAGCGGGGCCGGGGCGCGAGGCCCGGCGGGGAGTGGGGTGGGGGGAGCGGCTGGGGTCCGAGGGTTGAGCCGCTACGGGTCCTCGACGGCCCGGTCCCGTCCGGTGCGCCCTGGTTTGTTGCTCTCCTGGCGCCCGCGCGCCCCCAGCTTTTTGGTCCCCCATCACGGAGCCCGAACCGCGAGCCTCCCCCACCCGACTCTATGCCCCCTCTTGGGCCTAGTGGCTCCGTCTCCTCCCACTTCTGTGTTCTGAGAACCGGGTCTAAGGTTCGGGGTCCTTTCCCATACCCTACCGTTGCCCCTGACCTCTTCCTTCATCCCTTCCCTGATGTCTCCAAATCCATTGCCCTTTCTACCCAGGGTCTCCTTGGGGATCTTCTCCGTCCCTCTCTCCTGCCTTCGCCCTCCTAGCCTTGCCTTTTCCCATCCCTGTCCACCTCCTTCCCCCATTGCCTGGCCCCCCTCAGGATTACGGCTCCCCGTCATCTTCGCGGTGTTATTAGGCTTTGGGCAGCCCCGTGCCAGCAGTCCCTGTCTACCTAAGTCCGTTTTACCCTGGCTACCCTCAGATGCCCTGTTTTTGCCTGTCTCTCAGATTTCCTTCTTATCAGCCCTGTCCCCTGCATTCCTCTTCCCTACCTCCCAGTTCCTTGCCTCTACTTTAGGGAGAAGCATTAGCTCCACCCGCCACTCTGCTTTTCCCTTGACTTGCTGTTGAGATACCCCCGGGGTGGGGTGGGGGCTTTCAGCCCCTGATGGAAGTAAGGTAAGTAGCAGGCAGGTCTGTGTGGTAGAATTTACTGGGTGTTGCATCAGGGATGTTGTCCACTTTGTAGACCATTCTTCTAATCTCAGTTTTAATACTTCCCCTTTATGGGTCTGTTGACTTCCAGGAACCCTTGGGGAGAGACCAGCCGCTGAGTTGGGTGTGTGCCAGGGTTAGCTGGAGGCCTCATCCAACTCTTTTCCCCTTCCAGGAAACAGGGCTCAGCGTCTTTCCACCCTTGATGTACCCAAGCCCAGTTACACCATGATACTGCAGATTATCTGTGTCCTCACTCCCACCCTTCTCCCTGTGCCCCATCCCTAAGAGCTAAGAGAAGTCTCCAGAAGTTGTGCCCCAGAGAGTGCCTTAACCTTTTTCCTCTGTTCTGTCTCCAAGACATTTTTTTTTTCCTGCTCTAGTTGAGTTTTGAAATAGATTGCCAGCCCGATAGCCCTGGGGGCCAGCAGGCGGCTGTCCCGTTTGTTACTGGTCACCTGCACCAGCTTCTGATTTTTACTCATGCGTCTCTGACGCACTGAGTGTGAGGGCCTCTGATGTCAGTCGCTGAGCAGATTCTCTTGAAGTTTCTTCTTCCTCCATTCTCCTTGAGAGCTTAATTTCCTGCTGACCCAAGAGGGAGGCAGACCTTAAGGTCTGTTCCCTACGCCCTGTCAGGTGGATATCTGCCTGGGAAGGTTGTGGGGCTGTATCGGTTAGAGGGTGTCAGGACTTTGAGTTACTTCCGGGCACAGAGATGTCCTCTCTGGACCTAGAGGGCCCACCGTCTTCCCCGTGTGTCTGGGTGTTTAACCTTCTTGTCTGGCAGAAAGTTCGTTTCAGATGCTTTCAATTTGAGCTCCTTTATTTGGCACTGGTCCCCCGGAGAGATCTTCAGGAAATAACGTATCCTCTGTTTCTGCCCAATCTGATCTTGGAGGACTCTGAAAGCATGACCTGCTCTCACATTCAGAAATGAAGGCCTGTTGTTTCACCTGGCTCTGGGTTGTCTGGGTCTCCTCTTTTGAGGATCGTGCTCTCTGTCTTTGAGCCAGAAATGGACCCAGAATTGGCCACCTTCAGGAGCTGCGGTGGAGAGCCAAGTGAACCAGCTTAGACCTGACTAAAGTTTTAGAGTTCTCTTGTGCACTGACCCTTTTCTGTGAAAGGAGTAGGATTGTGGACAGCTGAGCCAGTGCCTTCTCCTCCGCTGGCCCCGGAGCCCCTTCCTGAGCAGTACTTGTGTGGGTTTGGGGCAGAATGGACCAAAACGGATAGCCTTTTTCCCGTGGAAAGCATCCTTCCAGGGTTTGAATGGGTCATTCTGATGAGGCGGAGGTTGTGTATTTGGCACTAAGTTAGTCCAGTCTCTGGCTCCCAAGGACTTGACCTGGCTCTTTGAGAGGTTTGCCACACTGCTTAGCCGTTAGTGGTAATCTCCACCCAGGCAGCAGGTGAGACGGGCTTGAGAAGAAGGCAAGCCCGGTCCTTCTGCAACAGCCCGGGCACCGGCAGCTCTGGCTGGATGCATCCCTGCGGTTCGTCCTCCCTGTGGCCTTTGTGGATGGTCAGGATGATCAGTTACCAAGTTCCCATTCAGTGATTTTTTTTTTTTTTTTTTGCAGAGTTTGGGCCAGCCTTCTCTGTTTTTCAAAGGTGTAGGCAGACAGGCCCCTGACGTTCTTCTACAGAGGCTGTAGCTTGTCAGCTCCTTAGTTTAACGGACTGATCTTTTATTTGGCTCCCTTTCGTCTCGCCTCTGCACCGCTGTTTTCCTTCTTCAGTGTGTGCCTCCACCCTTTCAAGAAGAATGGCCCCTACCCGGCCGGCCTGTGGTCCTTCAGATCTCTTCCCTGAGGGCCTCGTAGAAGATAGCCGGTGTTGTACGCTGGCCTAGGAAGCAAACAGGCTTCCCCTTTGGATAGAGTGCAGCCGTGCTGGCTGTTGTGCAAGCTGTCCTGGGGGCGTGCAGATCCGCTCTCCCAGGAGGAGTTGGACCTGTGGCTTCTGAAGACTTCAGCTCTATAGCCCGCCACCGAGGCCCACCTCCCAAGGTGTCCCTGCTGCCTGCGAAACTCAATTGCAGGGCCCTCCTCCGGTGCCTGAGTAGGGCCTGGGAGTGCCAGGAGCTGCACCCCCCCCCCGCCCTGCACTGTCCACACTCTTCTTCCTACCTACCCGGCGTTCCCACGGACCTGGTCTGCCCTGCCAGGCTCTGGCCCGTATCGGGTCAGAAGTTCTGGGCATGACGGTGCCCTGCTCTGTGCCGTGTCATCCCACATTGCACGGTGGCTGCCTGTCCAGTGGCTTGAAATCCCCTGAGCATTTTTCTGTGCCTTTGGATCCAGGGGGAGGAGCCAGCGACAGCAGCTGGGGTTCACTGCGTCCGAGGAGAGTCGGGCACTTGCTTGCGCCTGGCAGGGAGGAGGTGGCCTCTCGCATCAGGTTTCAGGCATGTGGGCCTTCTTCCTTGGCAGATGGCTCGCGGCCTTTGTAACGCAGAGGCTGGTGATTGGGGTGTGACTCTAGTCCTGGTTCCATGCGCTTGGGTCAAGGACTGGAGCATGACTCAGGGCGTCTCCGTTCACGAGCTGCCACCTGTGGGGGGGTGTTGGGCTCCAGATCCTTCCTCAGGTTGCCAGCTCCTTCTGCTCCACCCCGGTAAAATCAGCAAAGCCGGTGTCTGCTTCTGTGGAAATGAGCAGACTACTTCCAGTAGGGTTGGGAAATATTTGCTGACTCAGGCTCAGCATAACAACATCTTGGGGGTGTGAGGGGGGTGGAACAGGGAAAGAGCCAACTTGCTTGGGAGCACTTTGTGAGCCCTAGTGTCAATTGTAACATTAAAGCTGCTCTTCTGAGCCCCGGTGCCTCTCAGCTGAAGACTGGGTTTCTTTCCACCCTGCAGCGTTGTGTGGTGTTTTGGGCATGCACGCGGCACTCACGCAGTGGCTTCTGTTCACCAACAGATGAGGACAGATGCACCAAAGAGGTAATCCCGTTTTCCTTGCACAGCGACCTCTGACAACAACCGACACATCCCAGATTTAGGCTCCTGGCCCCAAAGAAGAAATGATTTCACTAGGGCCGAGTTCCCACATTGCAGGTGTGTCTGTTATAACATTTGGTACTCGTTGCTTACACATAGTGGGCGTTTATTAAATAATTATTAAAGATCTGTGGCTTATGTAGTTTTGGGGGGAGCACTGAGATTTTTCACCTTTACACCCACCAAAACATAAACTCCCCAAGGGCCGGGACTTACTTTGTTGCCTGTTGCATCTTGGACTGCTTCGCCCGGAGGCGATGCTAAATAAATACTTGTTGAATGAATCAGTGTACAAATTTTTCTTCTCTGTCTGTGTGGGTGCCAGGCCACGAAGATGGTGTCTGTCATTCTCCTTCATTTACGCAACAGACATTTTTGAGTGTCTGCTATGTGCCAGGCACAGTACGAGACACTTGGGGAATGATGATAGTTAAAAAACAACAACAACCCAGATTCAGTCGCCGTCTGATGGGTCTGTAGTTGGCTGGCATACGTGAGAGCTGGGCACTGAGAAGCAGGGCTGTTTTCTTCCGTCTCTGCTGGCGTAGCAGGTCGGCACAACGCTCCGGGCTTCTAGTGGCTGCTTCCCTGTTTGTTCTCAGGATGCCCGGCAGATTTTACAAGCTCTCAGAAGGGGCTCTCCAGGGGACTCAGTGTCATTGTCCTAGCTATCTGGGAGGCCGGGCCATGGTGAGGCCCCTGCCGGGGGCCAGGGGAAACACGGGCTCCCATCTGATTTGTCGTAATCTCTGAAGTTCAGTGGTCCCAGCAGCTGTTTACGAGCTTCACTTCCCTTTCTCTGCCTTTAACACCCTGTGGGTTTTCCTGTTGCCAGACAGGGCGCCGAGCCCATATGTCTGTCAGTCTGGGGGGGTCAGGTTGGTTGTGGATGTTGCAGGAAGGCCTCAGGCGGGGGCCCCTCCTGTTGTCAACCCTGCACCAAGTCCTTTCCTCTGAAGGAAATGTGAACGAGGAAGAAGGGGGGTTTGGGAGACTTGTGAGGTTCCCCGAGAGGGGATAAGGTAGAACTTCCCCCTCAGGGGAGACAGCTGCTGAGTTCATTGCTCTGTCGTTTGTGTCAGCAGCAGCTAGTCACAGTGACAGCCATCGGACATGTCCAGCGGCCACTAGCCCAGTGTATCCCTAAGCTCTGAGCTCCCAGTCGTCCTTAGTTTCCACTGGCAAAAGGCGAGGCCGTCAGATTTTTCAGTGCTAATCTCAAAAAACTGTGGTTTGGTTGTTACCTTTGTCTTTCCCATCTGAGGTACTTTGGTGGGTCAGGTGCTGTGACAGATGTTTCAGAAACGGTCCTTGGCTGCTCCCATCCCCCAGGTGTGTTGGATCTAGCTGGGGAGAGAAGACATGTGCACAAAAAGATTTTGAGGGGCGCCTGGATGGCTCAGTCGGTTAAGCGTTCGACTCATGATCTCAGCTCAGGTCATGATCTCATGGTTTGTGGACTCAAGCCCCGCGGCTGGCTCTGTGCTGACAGTATAGAGCCTGCTTGAGATTCTGTCTCTTCTCCTCTCTGCCCCTCTCCACCCCTTCTTTCTCAAAATAAATAAATAAACTTTTTTTTTTAATTTTTTTTTATTTCTAGGAGAGAGAGAGAGACAGAGACAGAGCGAGCAGGGGAGGGTCAGAGAGAGAGGGAGTGACAGACTCCGAAATGGGCTCCAGGCTCTGAGCCGGAAGTCAGCACAGAGCCCGACGCGGGGCTTGAACCCACGAACCGCGAGATCATGACCTAAGTGAAAGTCGGACGCCTAACCGACTAAGCCACCCAGGTGCCCCAATAAATAAACTTTAAAAAGTCTGTCAAATACTTAAATCTAACTTATAATTTAAAATTTGTTACTCTTGGGGTGCTTGGGTGGCTCAATCAGTTAGGTGTCTGACTTCAGCTCAGGTCACGATCTCACAGTTTGTGAGTTCGAGTCCCGCATTGGGCTCTGTGCTGACAGCTCAGAGCCTGGAGTCTGCTCAGGATTCTGTGTCTCCTTCTCTCTCTGCTCCTTCCCCACTCACACTCTGTCTCTCTCCCTCTCAAAAATAAGTAAACATTAAAAAAAGTATATTTATAATTTGTTTTTTCGTTCAAGTAAAAAAGTTGTATCATGAAAAAAATGGCTAGTTTAGCTTACAGCTTAATCTCACAATTGTTTTTTCTTGAGATAAACATGTAACTCTTGTTTTGTTCCAAAGAATACTTAAAAGCTATGCTTAAATGTCAAAAAACATGAAAGGAAGTCAGTTTTTATTGTCTCATTTAGGACATTCTTTTTATAAAATTGTTTAATTTTAGAGAGAAAGAGGAGAGAGGGAGAACCCTAAGTAGGCTTCACACTCAGCATGGAGCCTGATGTGGGGCTTGATTCCATAACCCTGGGATTATGACCTGAGCCGAAATCAAGAGTCAGATCCTCAACCGACTGGAGCCACCCAGGAGCCCCTCATATAGGACATTCTTAGGGGAAATTGATAATTTATGATCTTTTATCATTCTGTGAGTTGACTGGCTCATCTGGGCAGTTCTTAGTTGGGATATATTGCCTCAGTCAAATGGAGGCTGGGGCAGGAGTCATTTGAAGGCTCAGCCGGGCTAGACATCCACACTGGCTCATGCACATGGCTGGCACTGGATGCCAGCTGTTGACTAGAGTGCTTGCATGTGGCCTCTGCACGTAACTTGGTCTTCACAGCATGATGGTTGGATTCTGCACAGAAACATCCCAAGACGGAGCGCACCGGGAGATCCAGGGATAAAGGGCAAGGCTTCTTGTGACCTAGCCTTAGAAGTAACACAGTGTCAATTCCTTTGTCTTTTCCTGGTCTTGGGACCAGTTCAGATGCAGAGGACTGCACAAGGGTGTGGATATCAAGAGGCCTGGTTCATTGGGAGGGAGAGCGGGCTCCTTGGAGACCAGCTACTACTTCTTTATTAGCGTCCCTTTTTTAATTTTTTTTAAAAATTTTTTAATGTTTTCTTTATTTTTGACAGAGAGAGAGACAGCATGAGCAGAGGAGTGTCAGAAAGAGAGGGAGACATAGACTCCAAAGGCAGGCTCCAGGCTCTGAGCTATCAGCAAAGAGCTTGATGTGGGGCTCGAACCCATCAACCGTGAGATCATGATCTGAGCTGAAGCCGGACGTTCAACTGACTGAGCCACCCAGGTGCCCCTTTTTTAGCATCCCTTATATGAGGTAGCCTGGTCTGTATATATGAGTAATACTTCCAGGAGAAAAGCATATCTTCTCACTTTTTTCCTGGAAACTACTATTAGGAAATTCCTCGTAGGTTGGGAGAGGTCATTGAATGCCAGGTGAAGGAATATGCACTCTTGTGTTTTTTGGGCAGTTGGTAGGCATTGGTGTTTTGGAGCAAGGAATGATTGTAATATTGCCTTAGAGGTGGATTGAATGGAGAAAGAGTGGAGGTAGAGAGGTGAGGTAGGAATCTGAGCTCCTCTGATTTTGATTTCAATCCTTCAGCCACACAGATGGCTGGAGGAACCCCTTCCCCCTACTTATTTGGGGATGTTGATGATACACGGGAGAGATCAAAAGGTTCACAAAGGGCACAAGGCATCTAGAGTCAGGTTTTATTGTCAAGGCACATTAAAAAGTTAATAAAAGGAAAAACATTAAAAAATTAATAAGAGAAAAAGAGAAAAGACAGTTAATAAAAGAACAGACGAAAGCTTCATGGAGTGCCACTAACAGTGTTTCAGATACACCTCTGTTTTGCTCTCATGGACCATTAGGGAGCGAGGAGAAAAGTGAGAAGCAGAAAGAGGGGGACAAATTAGAGATGAGTAGGGAGCGGGGAAGAAAAGGGAGTCAAAGGGGAAAACGGCAAAAAGAGTTTGGAGGAGGCTGAGATGGAGGAGCCACTCCAGACTGGAAGCGACTTGTCTGCAGAGTGGAGCGCCTGCGGGGCTCCTTCTGTGCTTCCTGGGGGACTCTGGCCTCAGGTGTCTACAGACACCACATGCTCTTGCCCAGTCTCAGTAGCTTTTCTGTTTGAGAAGAGACCATGGGAAGAGCTGGAGTGGATTTGGTGTTGGACGGACCTGGGGGCCATTCAGCTCTGGTACCCTAGGTGACTTGGCGACTGAAAAGACCCTCAGGCTGTGCTGAGGCTCCAAGCCCCGTTTCTGCCGAACTGTGTTCTGAGGTGGTGAGCTCCGGAAGAAATGCCTGTCTGAAGCACTGCCTTCCCTGAGTGGCAGGCTGTGGCGCCGGGGGCCCAGCCTCAGCATGGAGAGTCCGCAGGTGCTGAGTTGATGTTCTGGGCCGTGCATTGTGACCCCTCCCTCCCCTCCAGTCCAGTCTTCAGAGCCTAACTTGCAGCCTTGCCGTCAGCTCAGCAGCTCTCCAGGGACCGTTACCAAATTCCCCACGGCCAGTAGTGACACACCTTTGCAAGAGCTCTCTCAGGAGAGGATGCTGGAGGGAGAGGCTCCCCGGTGCTCTTGCTTTTCAGTTCGTCTCTGTACTGTTAGACGAACAGGTACCTAAAAGCAGATTTTCACTGCCTTCGCTTGTAATCGGCTGTAACACCATGATCCTGTGTTACCACTGCTTTTGGCACTTCCCCATCCGAGATTTGTAACCTCAGAGGCACACGTTTTTGGCTCCTACACCAATGGCAGTGCAGGCCGACTTTGCTTTCCCGATAGGCAGCATCAGCCAAGCAGGCCACCCTGCAAACTCAACACTCTCCTCAAAAGTAGGCCATCCCTCAGTTTGCCAGAGCCCAGAGCTTTCCCTGTCATCCTCTTTTCCGAACAAGTAAATGTGGTGTCCTTTCCTCAGTTTCCCTTAATTGCTTCAAACATTGGCTTGGTCATGCCTCTGGTTCTGTCTCCTTTAGCACCAGGTTTCTCAGCTCCAGACATTTTGGGCTGGGTAATTCTTTTATTGATTGGTTGGTTGAGAGA